AACACTGACAGTGTAATGTGTTATACAACATAGTAATGTACAGGGTATTTTGCAACAATAAGAACCAAATTTAATGTCACGTCTGGAGTTCTTAGAGCAGCAAACATGAAGATTACAGTCTTCTGGGATGCAGCAACTATTTACCAAACTACATGATCCTACACGCCAGAAGACTGTAATTATTATGGGTAGTATAAAGTCTATAAGACAGTTGGAATGCTGAATATCATCAAAACACTTCTTGAACTCAAGGTCAGGTATGAAAACGGCAATGGACATATGATATCCATTTCATGGTCAAACAGTTCTGTTCACAGATATCTTGAAGTGACAATATTAAAATTATGCACTCCCATTTTACTTTTTGAATAATTACACTGAGATCATAGAAAGAAGTCCCATGGACTAACCCCATCTCCCTTGAGCTGTTTCACTATCCTCCCCTCCACAAGCCTTGTCATCCTGTTCACATAAATGTTATCAGCACATCTACAAGACAACATTTGCTGAAGTAAGGTCAGGGAAAGGATGAACACAGATTCTACCACCACACCCAATGGCCTAGTATCTATGCCCCTTCCCCCTCAATTATCCTTGCATACTGACCTGCTCTATTATGAACTTACACAGACAATTCATGTTACTCAATTTTATTAAAATAAATTACAATAATTATTATAAAGGCAAAAGAGGTCAAGGTATCCCTATAAAAGGCCGTGGAGGCCAATAGGGTTGTGAGATGTCGAGGCTCCCACATTTTCTAGACAGTCGGCTCACAGATGGCAGTGAGTTTGTTAGCCTTATGTGCCAGCCACCCTTTACTCCCAGGAAGATTCCTGGTACTCATTCCTGTTAGAGGCTGAGTCAACCCCAGGGCCATAGTGCAGCTGGAAGGGTTAAGTCAACTGAAAAATCCCATGATCTCATCAGGAATTGAACCCGTGACCTTCTGCCTTGTAGCATAGTGCCTCAACCACCTACACTACTGCATGCCCCAACAATAATTATGGCAATCAATAAGAGCAAAGCAAATGGTTCCCTTCTCCCAAGGAAAGGAGATGAGTAGTGTAAGTATTGCAGGAAGCTCATTCTCTCTGACCCAAATGTAGCGACAAATGGTTTCTGCATGATGACATGGGCCAGGTAGTGCTTCTGAGAACTGCAACAGTATGCAGACCAGGGTGGGGGACACCTGACAGCTATCACACCCATTATCAACAGGATGTCTTCTTACAGCCTTATTATATGGACATACTAACCTGGTCACACAAATGCTGAATATTCTGGATATCATCCTCAGATATTTCTGTACCCATTGATATTTCAGCTGCCTCTTTCACTTTTGCTTCTACATCTTCGGGCAGAATATCTGAGAGGTCTGAAGAACTTGTGTGTTCCCGTGTCCCTGTATGGAACAAGATGAACTGATACAGCGTGAAAGTAAAGCCACGGCCCATGAAACTTCACTGATCAGCTCAGTCACAGGTTATTTACTCTGTCCAAATTCCAGAGGTTCATTATTATTACAGACTGGGTTATGGTGCCACGCCATTCTGACATAATAATGCACTTACCAATAATTCTGACAGTCTTGACGAAAGCTATGTTATCTGTGATGATCTTGCATAGTTCTGGGAAGTGCCAGCCGTACCATTCTCGACACCTCATAATGTAGTTATTCAGCTCCTTGTCCAAATCATCCAGAAGACAAACGGCTTGTACGATCATTGTATCTATCTTGTCTGGACTGAACTTCAGTTTGTACCTTGAAAGGCTGGGAACACAACATGCCATGTTCCTTTTAGCATGGGACCAGAGACAAACGAGGAACTCTGAGCACTCATAAAGCCTACTTCCCTGCTGCACACATTGTTAGTCCTACAGATCTGTTAATATATAACTGCTATTTTATTTTCCTCTTGGGAATAACTTATTATGTAAGTACATGTTCTGCATACACTGAATTTGTCAGATATAACTTAAAAAGTTGCACACCTCTGTCACATTGGTAACTGTTGATTTATAATATTTCATACATGTTTAGATATGTTTATGATTTACAACTGTGCCATATTTCTGATGAACAGCATAATCATTTTGGATGTAACACTGTAAAGTCCAGTAGAAGTTCAACTCCAAAGAGTTAACCACGTAAGTAGCTGAACGACATCAGTGGCAAACAAGTCCCTATGGATGACTATTCTACAGAATGTTCAAAGGGTTGAAAAGCTATGAATCAACATTGCCATAAGCTACTCTGGTCCCCTGAGCTGCAGGAATGAAAGCATGGTTCCACAAATCTGCTTAACTTGCTGGCACTTGGTTCATTCCCTGCCCATGAAGCTGGAGACAATATATAACTCTGAAACAATGGGGTTCTACCAGACAATACCATGTCACATTCCAGAATACAGTACTCATTATAGACACTGCTGTGAGAACCTCAGAACCAGAAGGAAACAGCTGTGTCTGCTGATGGAGTGAAGAGTAACAAGAAGCCACATGAAGTATAAACTTAGATGGATATGAGCAAGATATGCCGGAAAGAAAGTGTTCAAGTTGGCATAGGCATGAAATTACTAAACCTGTAAAGACAAATAGAAGAGAGTAACAGACACATTTTAGAGAAAATAGAAGTCACCTGTGTGCCAGCCCCAAGGCCATGGCTGTCATCTCCTTCTTTGGAAAGCCAGCCAGCAAGCTGTCCAGCTGTGATCGAATGCATCGCATCAGTTCCTGTACCGCTGTGTTAGACAAACAGGACAGATTCAACTTGTCTTTGATGGCATTGCCTAACTTTGCATCAGCCACCAGTAACTGGTCCTGAAGATCCTTTGCCACTACTTTCTTCAGCATCTTCTTTAGTGACTTAGACATCTTGCCCTCGACTGCTGCTGTTGTGGCAGCCAGAGCGTCTGTTGTGTCTGTGAATTTCTCAAAGTGCTTCAACTTGACACTACAAGAAATAAAATGAACTTCCACAGATTTCTCCAGAAATAAATACAAGGCCTTCCTCAAGCAGTCATAAAATTACAATTTTAAAGTGAAGCCTTATTTACTGCTACTATGTCAAATGTAACTAAAACCAATATTCTAACAATAAGTTTCATGAATACCGTATTTACGCATGTATAGGCCGCGTGTGTGTATAGGCCGCAGCACAATTTTCAGACAGAAATTATAGAAAAAATAATTTTCTTGGAATATTATTTCAGGAGTAGAAATTATTCCGAAATTTGGCAACGTTAATTTTTTTTTTAATGAAGTGTGATTTCGAATATTTCGAATATAAGCCGCACCCCAGTTTTCCTCTTGAATTTTTGGCAAAAAATGTGCGGCCTATACATGCGTAAATACGGTATTTTTGGCCCCTTGCACAAACGAAGTCCCACATAACCAAAATAAGACCTCAACACAGTGGGCATGAGGCATGAATTCATAAAAGGCCATAAATGGAAAACACGTTGCAGAGTTGTTACCCATACTGTAAAATTATTCCAGAACTTTCTGGCATGTTATGCTGTGGAGTTTGGCCCATGTTTACTGACATTTGAGAGGAATGTACAGGGGATGGACAAAAATATGGAAACATCTAACAAAAACCACATTACCATGACTAATATGGTGTAGGACAACCTCTGGCTTGCAATCTCCTTGGAATGGCTAAATAGAGGTCCTGTATGATTTGCAAGGGAATCTTGTACTATTCTTCCTGAAAAACATGGTAAGTTCTGCTATCGATGATGGAGGTGGATAGCACGCATGCAGATTGCTCTCCAAAACAGACCACAAAGGCTCAATAACATTGATATCTGGCGATTTTGGGGGCCATGACAGACGTGACACTTCATCTTCGTTCTCAGAAAACCAGTCCTGGATGATGTGAGCTATATGAACACAGGCATTGTTGGCTTGGTAAATGGCATCACCATTAGGGAACAAAGTTTGCACCATGGGATGGACCTGGTCACCCAAAATGGTCACATAGGTGTTGGCAGTGACGTGACCTTGAACGGTGTGAAGATGGACTCATCCGACCAAATGGCCGTCTTCCATTGCTCCACAGTCCAGGTTTTATGACTTCGGCACCACACTGTCCTCTTAGTGGCATTCTGATCACTGATGAGTGGCTTTGGAATTGCAGCTCGCCCAGAAATACCCTGCTTGTGGAGTTCCCTTCATACTGTTTTGGTGCTGACAGGGTTTGTTAGCATGACACTCAGTTCAGCAGTCACTTTTGCAGCTGCAGTCTTCTTATTTTTGGTCACAATCCTACGCAATGTTCGTCTGTCTCGATCACTCAACGCACATTTCCGTCCAGCTGGTGTTTATCAGATGCGGTTTTTTCAGTCCTCCTGTATGCGGTCATAATCTTGGATACTGTGCCTCGCGAAACACCAAACACCTCAGCTACCTTGGTTACAGAAACACCCACCATATGGGCCCCAACAATTTGCCCACGTTCCAATTCTGTTAGCTCTGACGTGAAGCACAAAAACTGCACAGAACACTGTCTCGACATCAAATGAAGCTTGCAACATATTGCGGAGGTTGTACAGGTAGTGGTGTTGGGCAGATACGAAAGCGTGACCTACAAAAGTCGCTAAAATAAACACTTCAATTCAGGCATGCATTTCACGAGGTGTTTCCATATTTTTGTCCATCCCCTGTACTACCCTCCATATTCAAGGTCAAAGAACAAAGCAAGCAAGCATCCAACTTGAGCTTACTAATTGCATGGCTTACACTATCAAAGTTGAAGATTTACTAGACTACAGGGCATAACATTCCAGAAGACTACTCTGCACTGCTGCATGAACATAAAATTATAACAATAAATTTAGAAATACACATAAAAAGAAAACACGAGTGCTGATTCCTTGCATAATCACATTCTCGCACGTTCATTACATGACTTACTCACGGAGCTGAGCCCATCTTGAGGAGCCACCAATTCTGCAGCTACTCAAGAATTTCCCAGCATTTTATGTAACCTTAAGGTTCATTACTGTGTTCAAAAGAGCCCTCCAGTAGTCCCTATCTTGAGCCAGATGAATCCAATCCATACCATCCCATCCTACAATACCGAATCTTATGTCCGTTTTCTTTAGCCCTGGCCGTTTATCCAGAGGATCCGTCCAGGCCCGAGGCTTTTTGTGTAAATTTTCGTAACACGCTTATTTTTTACGGTGAGTTGATACCTCCAGCCCAACCCCAAAACTGTATGACCACCCTTGTCGGCTGTCCGCGGCTGCTTATTTAACATATTCGCAGATTCCCTCCATCCGCAACTCGAGGACGCGCCATGCCGAGGTGACAAGGGACCACCTAACATAGCTGATTACAAGATGGTTAAAAAAATTAAAGCAGATCAAAATGAAGATCTTTGCTCCTTCCTTTCTGTAATTGTGTCTCTTTATCACATTCCAATATCTCACTACTCATAATTATTATACACAAAATCACAGCTTATAACATAATAAGGGAAACCAAAAGGGTATATATACATGAACTGACCCACACGTGTTGAATGTATACAATTATGACATATGACTAAACTTACACTCTGCTGGCGGCTTCTGGTGTTTCAAAATCATGGTAGAGATTCTCTGTTTTGGTTAGTTTCTTCTCGTCGAGTAACTAAAACGTAAAAATATTATTCATTACTACCACGTAACAAAATTCTCACTGAAAACACGAAATATATATTTACGCCATCACTGCCGTAACTTACAAAATTCACTAAATTATCAACTAATACAATTACTGGTTACTACCTTAAAAATCGCATAACCCGCAGGAGTCTCAAATAACACCAACATAGTGAAAAAAATTACATTCAACAAAACTTTCAAAAACCTTAACACACACGCTTCACACACATTCCCGGTCGTCCCGGTCTACGTTCGGTGCATTTTCCCACGGTTCACAGTTTGTTGCGGACGTCGTGGATTAGATTTGCAAAGAACATAAATCCAGAGGATCCAGAGAGTAAAGGATGATGACGCCAGTGAGTACAAGCTCTACAGAATACAGGTCATACGGTGACGCATACAAATAACTACCAAATAAAGAGGCAAACGACAACGCAGAAATGTAAGGAAGGAAGAGAGAATATTTCTGACTAATAAAATAATAAGAACTTTACATCCTGGCACAAAAATTGAACGTCCTGCTGAGTCTATTAGTAACAGTAACCACGGGAACATAAAACAATAACGAAGCGAAATCCGAAATACACTCAGCTGTTGCCAAGATGGCAGGCTCGGCTTTAAGGAGGTTAATGGCAGAATATAAACGTAAGCGTTGTAAGGTATTTATTCTGAAAATTGGTGTTAAAATGGAAACTGTATTTTATATATCGAATAGAATTTTGTTTTCTTGTGCTCTTTCAACATGTGGATGTTCTTTGGGACGTGATGACTAGCACATTTGGATCTACCCTATTAGAAATGCGAATGATTTTGAATTTCGTTGTTAGTAATGTCTGTGCCTTCATATAAAATTGGTGGTGAAGCATATGGAATACATGAGTTCAGTTTTTGCATTAAAAGGGTTTGATAGTGTACTTAATGTATAATAAGTAAAGGTTGTCACAATCAATGACTGAAAAGTATTCATATTCTGGGATGTGACCCCGTGTAGTCTGGTAGACGTTCACCTCCGTGTCAGGAACGTACCCTCTCCAACTTCAGGCTAATAGAGTACACAGTGTCACATCCCAGCTGATGCTTGTCAGCAGAGTTGAAATTTAAGTAAGTTTCTTGTTTGTTGGGTCTTATGTGAACATAGGTAATGACGATACAAATATGAGCTATATTATGTGTTAAGAACTGATTGTATACTCATTTTGTACATGTTTCAGAACTAACTCTAAACCCACCAGAAGGTATAATTGCTGGCCCTATTAATGAGGAAAATTTTTTTGAATGGGAAGCACTAATAACGTAAGTTGTGGGAGTTTCTTCTAAGAAAGGTTACTTCCATTGAATGAAAAGAACGTTCTGACAAATGACACTACATAAAAGGATGAAATAAATCTGCAGGAACAACCACTTGTAAATGACTGTAATTATTATATCATTATTCATGTGCATCTGGCAATGGAGCACTGTGTGTAGAAGTTTTGTGACCAGGTTCCCCTTCAGTTCCCTTGCAGTAACCCTTACTATTGTCAGTCCAAATATGTCTCAGAAGCATTTACTGCTCAAGTCAGCTCACTAGTGGAAGCCCTTGAATGCATCATGGTGAGCAATCTGCATAACGCTATTACACCCCTGTTCTCATGCATGTGATAACTGAGTAATGTGTCACATTGCATGAAAGCAGAGCACCAATTCTCCATTTCACCCAGGACATGCCAAAGTAACCAAAAACTCCATGTAGTAGTCATTGGGAAGCTAACGCTCATTTAGTCGATCAAAAAATTCCCCACCTCTTAATGGAATTTGAATCAGTTATTGTATTCACACTGAATCGTGTTATGAGCCAGCTGAATGCAGTTCAACCATGCACACTCTACTTCTTTGAGATCCTGTTTTTGGTTGTTTGCCAAATAGAATCTTTCCTTCAGGCTCTCTGTCTTAAGATTTTATTGAAAGGGCAAAAATAAGTGATCTGAACACATAAATTATAATGCTGCTTCAATATTCATGCATATTTTGATCATAAAACATGCTAGTATATTTAACTTATGAACTATCTTTTCTGAACAACATTCCTTATTTGTGTTTGTCACATGGTAAAAAGAAGTTGTCCCTGTACTTAATTAATTAAGCACTGTGTCATGAAGACATACAGGGGAGTGAAGGTATAGTAGGGCATTATACTGCAACCAGATATGCTATCATTGTGCCTCTCTGTTACAGTGGACCAGAAGGAACATGCTTCGAAGGAGGAGTATTCCCAGCAAAACTGATTTTTCCACCGGACTATCCACTTAGTCCACCAAAGATGCAGTTTACCTGTGAAATGTTCCATCCAAACAGTAGGTATTTTGTTGTTGTGGAACTGGCATTCACACAGAAATAGGGTGTTTGAGAGCAGGGTGCTGAGGGGAATGTTTGAACCATAGAGAAAGGAGGTGACAGCAGAACTGCAGTCATGAGCTTCACAATTTTCACTCCTTGCCAAATTTTATTAGGATGATCAAGTTGGGGGGGGGGGGGGGGATATGCAGGGTATGTAACATGAATTTGGAAGAAGAGGGGTATATACAAAGTTTTCATAAGAAAACCTAAAGGAAAGCGAGACAAGGAGGACCTTACCATAGATGGGAGTATAATATTAAAATAGATATTAAAGAAATATGATAGAGTGTGGACTGATCTAGCGCAGGCTAGGAAGTGACAGAGGACTATTATGAACATAATGAAGCCCCAAGTTTCATAAAATACTGGAAATTTCTTAAGTAGCTGAGCAACTATTAGCTTCTCAAGAAAGATTCATCTCCATGGAGTTTTTTTTACTGCTAGTGGGGTGAGACTTAAGTCCCTTGTACTGCGGCCACTTCTGGCCTATTGTACCAGCCCCAGATGATAGGTGAGAATGATTGTGGAGCAATTGGTGGAATGAATATTGGCAGGGGAAACCGAAGTACTTGGAGAAAACCTGCCCCAGTGCCATTTTGTCCATCACAAATCCCACTTGACCAGACCCGAACCACCGCGATGGAAAGCCAGTGACTAACCACTTGAGCTATGGCACAGCCATCTCCACAGAGTTAGTTAATTGACTGTGGCATATCTGAAGTTCAGAGTGTAGTGTATATCTTGTCAGCCTTTCATTTGAATGCTGTGAAAACAGTGTGGAAAGAATGTATAAATATGACACAAAAAGGATTAATAAAATTATGTGTGCCTTATTTTACTAAACACTGTTTTAAGCAACTTGCAACATCCTGAAAGAAACCATCATTCTTGCCAGATTGTGTCCAATAGGACGGACACAGCTGCATCCTTTCACAGCCCCTCAGACCACAAAGTATCCACAAACTGACTGCATAATCAGTTCAGTTGAAAAAGCACCACTAAGTAAATCAATAATCGATCACTGAAACTCATCCAACACAAAATAACCTCTGAAGCTGATACATATTCATTAAGTAACATCAATTTCAATACAGTCTACGGGTTGTGGGTATTAACATAAAGTGAAGTCGATAGCTTACATATATTAACGTAAGTTAGGATATACTGGTTGCTTCTATTATCATGTGAAACTGTTTTGCAGTATATGCTGATGGACGAGTCTGTATTTCCATACTTCATGCTCCGGGTGATGACCCTATGGGTTATGAATCCAGTGCCGAGAGGTGGAGCCCAGTTCAAAGTGTTGAGAAAATATTACTGTCAGTTGTCAGCATGTTAGCAGGTACAAATAACGGAGGTTAATTTTTATGGTAAATGTACGTCAATTTCTCATAATTTTTTTTTAATATGAAGCTCATTCTCTTCTGGGATTTAGCACCATGTAACCTGGTAATGTCGTTCAGAGGAACTGAATGCCTCAATCTTCAGGGTGAAAGTGTAATGATTTTCTTCTGTACTGAAGATGATGGCAGCAGGTTCCTCCAAAACATTTGTAATGTTGTAATGCCAGACTACATAGTATCACAGCAGCCATGAAGCTCAGTTGGTGTAGCAACTAGGCTACAGGCTGGATGGCCAGGGTTCAATTCCTAGCGAGGGCAAGAGATTTTTCTCTTGTCTGCAGCATCCAGACTGGCTCTGGGCCTCACCCAGCCCCCTATCCAGTGGACACAGGGCTCTTTCCCCAGGGGTAAAGTATCTGCTGTGAAAGCCTGACCAGTCATGTCCGTAGAGTGCTGAGGTCAAGAATGGTGGAGCTGCACTTCCACTCTTTATGTCTTCATGTCATCATGCTTCACCTTCAGTACATAGTATCACACACCATAAGACTGTGATCTACATATTTACCTCAGATCTTACATTCTGAAGTATGTTTTGTTGTTCCTGCAGAACCCAATGATGAAAGTGGTGCCAATGTTGATGCGGCCAAAATGTGGCGGGAAGACCGTGAGGAGTTCAACAGGATAGCAGAGAGGATAGTCAGGAAAACTCTTGGGCTTCCTCCACCTTAAACATTCCAATATGACACACCATGCTGCTGACAAAATCCAGCTTTACCAGAACCTCTGTGTTACCAGTCAGAAAATTACATGTGCTACATACAGAAATATCATTAAAAGCTTTAAATGGTATAATAAATTGTCCCTTCACTGCTTGCTTACATCTAGATCAAATGCTGCTTGTGAATCAGAAGCTGTTACAATGGATATAGTGTAAATAACCTTAATGTATAAATTTAAGCTACTGATCACCATCATTATGACATAATTTGTTATACCTGGGATTTAAATTCATCCAGTGCCAGACACCTCAGTGAAGTGATGGGTGGGGGCAGGATATCCAGAATTCTATCCTCAGCATGGGCAGGAATTTTTCTCTTCATGTCCAGGTTGATTCTTGGGTCCACTCAACATATTTTTTCCCCCAGGGCCAGAGATGGGCTGTAAAGGTGACTACCAGTTCCATGTAGAATGTGTGGAGCTTTATTTCCATGACATCTTCACAGTGTGGTGCCTGCTAGCAGCAACCATATTTTTCAAATCCGATATTTGAGAACGGGGCTAAGGAGTATATTTGAACATAAAAGAGGGGAAGTGACAGGACATTGAGACAGCTGCATCAAGGAGACATATATTAACATAAGCAGCAACAGAAGGCAGCAGATTCCCTCACCCAGTAATTTTAACACCAGATGATGATCACATTGGTTAAAACGAAACAAACTCCATGGCTTTAGTCCGCAAGCAGACTATACCAACTGAGTGACCACCGCTTGTCAGCGAAGTCGGTGCCAACTTTAGTGGATAGAGGATGTTGTGTGGTTGAAGCATGTAGTGATAAACTTTTAACAAATTTTATAGAATCTAGTGTTGCACACGAGACTGTAAAAAACTAATCAAAACTGAGATGGGAAGGTTATGAGTCACAAGTTAAGCATGATTGCTGAAAGCAATTTCAAAATTCACTATTAGCTTCCTGTGGCTGTCAACAACTTCACCATAGCCCTGTATTTGTTCATTTTCAGGCTTCTCAGCTACCTTGAAGATGCCAGAGACTTGGTCCTCACTCAGTGTACTAACAAAATAAGATGGTACAGGCACATTTTAAACATGAATAAAGACAGACTCTGGAAGGTTTTCAACATGTAACTAAAATAAAAAGCACCCAGCAAGGAGACCTCAGATCAAAATGGGAACAATAGGTTACCAACATGTCACGCAGAAGGAAGGAAGGAAGCACACACAAATTTAGGAGGGGTTTTGGAAAGACAGAGATAGATGGAGAGGTCTGGTTGTTAGGCAACCTAAATGAAGATATATGGATTTGGAATTCAGTCACAATCCATTTGAAAGTTCCATCCCAGCAGTTTGTCTGCAGAAACTGAGGAATATGTCAGAGAATAGTAATCTTCTGGGGAATGACTTGGAGTATCTCTCAAATACAGATATAGAGAATTATCATTATACCAACTTGCTAAGTCTTTATTGTATAATGCTGTAATAACTCATGAGGGAATGTACATGAAACAGGATATAGTAGGATGGAGTTGAAATGCTCAATGGTGGTTTACTTTGTGGTCAGAAAAAAGGTTCCTAATATACAGGGCTCAACAAATGGACTTCTCTGCTCAACCGCACCAAATGAAAAATCAAAGATGATTAGAACTGATTTGTTTTATCTGTTAATATTCACTCCCACTGTCTTCATTTCTGCAAAGATGTGAGACAACAAGTTTGTAACTGGAATGGATATGAAGGCCTTTGTTACTGCAAGAGCATGGTTAGGCAGATTCTTTTGTGAAGAAATATCTGGCAAGCAATTTCTATGATTGGTGAAGCAAGCCAATGTTTGTTGACCCCTGCTAATGCAGTTAGACTGTGGAAGGTGTACGGATGTTGGGTTAAGATTTTCTTACAATAAGACAGCTTCCACAGTAACAAAACAATGGGATAATGTACTTCGTATCATTTAAGCACTCAGAATACAGAAAGGCTAGGATTGTGTGCAACCAAAACAGAATAATGCATACGAAGATCAGGTATAATGACAACATGAGTACTTTCAAGCTGAAAATGTCTTTCTGGAATTCATTACCATTCAGTTCGTCTTCAGGCACATTTTCGAAGTACAAAACATACACTTTCAGTCTTATACACCAAGTATAAATCGACAGTAAAAACGATATACTATCTGTTGGATAAGCGAATCAATATGAAATGATATGTCAACTGAAACATGAATCAGGGGTGCCAATTGATATCACAAGTGAAATATCTATGTTATAAAAACGCTTTCCAACTCATTTTGTCCTTTTGGCTTCAAAACATTCTGACAGAATCCTAAAACAAAATTAATAGCTACACATACAGTGTGTCAGGATATGATCCATTTTTCAGTGATTTTGTAACAACTGATGGCAGAAACATGAGAAGAAAGAGAAACTGTGAAAGTTTTCATGCGTTATCAGCGACATTAAGCATAAGAAAATATTGCCAAAACCTTTAAGTTCACAGAACATAAACTGATACTTATGAGACCCAGTGACCACTCTACTCATCTCATTAGTATTCCAATTCTTACCAAACCAAACTGAGAATGTCTCAAGTCATGTGACTCAATTCAGTCTGTATCTTCAATTTCCAGACTTGATACAACAAAGAGATGGTTAGTTCCTAGGTACCTCACTTAAAAGCAAAACCACAAAAGTAAGAAGGGTATGAAAGAATTATAATAGACAACTGCTTTGTAAGAAGAAACCTGAAGTTTTTACAGCAACTAACAGTAGTGATGACCTCTGTGCTAAATTGTCCAAAGGAAGGCCTTACATAGGATCCACTTCATTGTGGAAAGTTAGTTTATAGGATACATACATAAATAAATCTGACTTTATAAAGATTTATTGTAAGAACCCTTTGAAGCCCACAACGTCCACAGAACAGAGTTTGGGAATCCATTATATTACATTCATATTTTAAGAATTATGCTATATGCTCCACTGATCTGAGACAGAGCAGTAAATGACTAGGTGTTATATATTTTATAAACGCAGATTTTTATCTAAACATGTGATCAATGGAATAAGATATTCACTGAAAGCTCGTCATACAATTTGGCAGTATGTAACTACTCCTGATCCCATCATCGATATGGTGTATTTCAGTATGGAAATTACATGGCTCAAAAACAGTGACATCTCACTACTTTGGCTTTAAGTGCTCTATTCTGTTCAAGTTCTGGACCAGCACAATCTTGTAAGCCATGTTCCTTAACCCTTACTGGTCTAATATTATATTTCTGCATCATATTTGAATTCAGGACCTAACAAATAGGTGGAACAGCACATCATTGCCAATTAAGGCTACAGGTGTTGCCACTTGATGGCTCCCAAGGGAGGAAGTGCAGCAGGTGGAAGTGGTGCGGCATGGGACAAGGCTGCTACACAATTATCACAACTTTCCTTTCGTCCCCTCAACTAACAGAACATGGACCACTGTATTATACCATTAATACGAACTGAGATTTGCTGGTACCAGCAATAACAAATATATCTATACCACTAACAAAAAGACCCAGCATATTACAAAATACACAAGGTCTTGGAGTCGGCAGGCTCTTGTGAAGTTCGTAATGGGCCTTCGGGTTCCAATTTCCTGACTCGCTGTGTGATCATCAGCTTGTCAAGGACCTGCTGCATGGATTTAAACTGTGGAGCTACCTGATAATTCAACAGATCACAAAAACATAAATGTTTCTGGGCAAGGTACCTTTTTCGTTTACTTTCCTTATTTTGATAAAATGAAAGCAGGCTTATGCCATCTCCATGGTGTCTGTGTATCCCCCACCCCTCATTAACTTTTGAATGCCTGAACAAATCTTTACGAAACTTTGTGTCTGTACATCATGGCACCTGAGCCCATCTCGGTGGCATGCTTCAGAAATCCCTCCCATCAGTCTGTGTCCCCCTCCTATCATTGCTAGGCAAAGGCTTGGTAAAATGTATCCCTCCTATCACTGCTAGGCAACAATTCAGTAAAGATGTTCCCATGGCAAGGAAGAACTGTTGGAGGCATCGTTTTATGTGTGGTCCATGTTGTATCAAAGGAAAGTAGGCACTCAGTTCTTCCCAGAACTTCTTGTTAGTGTTATTTCATGTCTGCACCACAAATATTGAATGTATGATTACCCACAAGGAGACAGCTACAGGAAAACTTGAGGTTTTATTTTAGGTACTACTAATTACTGATATCTGATATTTTCATTTGAGATATACATAAAACTGAATTTCAAGAGCATCTTACAAATAATATAAACGCTCTTTATGTCGCTCTCAAGACAACCACCCATAAGGCTTGAACTGAAGAACCGAGTAACATACACAATAGGGCAGTTCTGGAGCAATGGGGATGACTGGCTTATAAGCTTGATACATATTGGACAGCAGCCCAGCATTCCCGACTACAAAATATACTTGGTCCCTCCTTTCAGTGTACAAAATAAAGTCCACGCACTGAATTTGACACTGTTTCGAACCTGAGATCTTTTACAAAGAAGTATATGCCTCATCTCCATGCCACTCCATCCCACACTTTGTGTTAGTTATGAGAGCTAACTTCAAGAAAGGCAGTTTTTAGTTATAAGATGTTTTTACAGCAGACATTTCATTTTACTTTAAGAGACTTCAAATAAATTTACCACAATCTGTTCATGAAATTGAAAACAGTATAGTAGGCCCTCGTTACACCACAGATTCCAATTACTGTGGCTTTGATCAAGTAGCCCAGTATAATCATGTGCATTTTATGTCATAAAAAATTTCCAGTGTTTTAGTTACAGTATAAGACTATTGCAACATTCCTTGCTACAGTTTACAGGTACAGAGGATAAAGCCCATGGACTGCTACGAATACGCTGTAGATTTCTGGTTCCCATAACCCTGCAAGTATTTATTTAAACAGTAAAGTTTAATGAACACTCCTTTTACCTGCTCAACCACAGACTGAAATGCACCTTATATTCCATATATGTATTTTAGTCACTCCTTGAATACTGTATATACAACAACAGGGATTCCAAAATTATATGTCAATTTCACTTATAATGGAAATACTTACTATGTCCACGAATCTTTGTCTTTGCATTATGACCACTAAGAAAGGGTGAAATTTTCCAAAAGCTCGAGAAACATTAATTTCACATTTTTGTTATGACTGAAAGATGATTTTGGAAAATCTCAGAGATATAAGCATGTAAAAGACCTACACAGTAAGCATCTTTGGAGCTTCCAGCAAATTGATGGACTGTTCAAGTGGAACAGCTTGACCCCATTTAGTCAGATCACAGACATTCGGACTACTAACGCAATCAACAGACCCAGTCTAGCAAATTACAAATACTCAGCCACATTACAGCAGATGCTGGAAATGTTCATTGTAAGGAGAATGTTTGAACCTAACACAAAATGAATTCTTGCTACACGAAAGATCAAACATCAAACAAACAGTGACTGAAAAGAAGCTGAAGGAAACTGGTGTGGACTTGCACACTCTCCTCAGATACACTCAGACATATCAATGCATAGACGAGTAGCGTTTCATGTTTCAGATTTACTCTCATTCATTCATGTGTAATCTGTCAAGATGACATGTCCACAGTCTCTTCCAAAACAGTTCCTCCACTTGATGCGATCTAGAGCTTTCTCCTTCAAATGAAAATATCCTCTTCTGTCCCCAAGGTCATCCAGCATCTTCTTACATCTTCTGGTCACTTCTATCCACCCCTTTATCTTTCCTTCAATAACTTCTTTTAGAAGGCAGTTACCGCGTAAGATATGACCAATCCAATTAGCCTTCCGTTTTCTTATTTCGTGTAGGATATTCCTCTGCTCACCGACTCTAAATAACACTTCATTTCTCACATAATCAGTCCAACTGATCTTCTCCATCCTTCTCCAACACCACATTTCAAAGCTTTCCAGGTGTTTCTGATCTACTGTCCTAAGTGTCCAAGTTTCAGCCCCAT